ATGGTATTTTTTCATTGGCAGGCAGGAAACATTTTTCACTAACAATGTAAGGACCTGTATTACCAGGCACGGGGTTGAATGCACGGAGATCAACAGTGTAACTCTATCATCTGATAAAGCCCACAAGCTAGCTAACCAACTAGCTGAAGGAGATGCAAAATACTTGGCCAAATAGAATATGTGCGGACCCTTTACAGAAGCATATAAAAAAAGCTTTTATTAAAAAACCTTTCCTTCAGAATCTGGAGTAGAAGAAGAGACTGCCTGCCTTGAACGCCAGATACCTAGAAGTGGCTGAAGACTTCAGTGACAAGAAGTTGTTACCACCTAATGGTTGTTGAATCCCCTATTCAAAACTAGCTGGTAGTTAGCTTAGTTCTCTGCGGGCAAATACCCATCTCACAAAGATCCCAGTCCTGTCCTACCCTACAGCTCTGTTAGCAACCCTGGGGCAGTAGCTGAGTGACTTGGAGCAGGAGATCTTCTCCCAGTACTACCTCCAGGCAGCTTGGAAACTTGCTGGCAGGTCTCAGCAGTACTGCTGCTTCTACTCTACCTGCCCATGAGTCAATTCACCAGTGTGAATTGATTTCCGGAACTTTTAGTCAGGTTTTTCAAGAATTAACACATCTACTCCTTCACATTTCTGAGAAAAAATGCTTGCTGGGGAATTGCAGCTTTGCCTTGTTCTTTCTTCCTGTTCTGCCACAAGTCTTAGGGATGGGCTGAAATAACGTCAGTCATCCCGATAATAAGAAATGCTTATTTCCTTGCTGCTGTGAAGAAAACAATAAGTTGCTTTAAGATAATATTTGCCTCTAACCACACTAACAGAATGCACTGAATTTTACTGAAAGGCTAAACTAATGCTTTAAACTCAGCTCCATGGGTTATTTTTAGATCCTCTGCTGGCTGGTGATAATGATCCTCCTCAGGCTTAAGTCACAGGCAGAATAATCCCCTGAATTCTAGACCCTTTATTAATCATTCGTGTATTTTTGCTTTGTAGGAGGAGAGCTACATCCCACCTGCGTGCTTGGATGCTATTAACAAAACAACTCAAAGTATTGTATTTTTCCAAAGCAGTCTTACCTCAGAGATCAGGGAACTGTATTACTTTGGATCCTACAAACGTAATCTCAAGACACTGCACAAGCAATTGTTTTTATCTTGAGGATGCTTGTGCTCGGAACCACCATTACTGTCCTTCACATGCCCAGATGCAAAAGTTGAGAGTAGCTGTCCCAAAACACACCATCTGCTATCTTACAGATAAGTACTTATCTGGTAAGCACTAAACAGATAATAGAAAGGATTGCTCATTGTTCAGAAAGACACAGAACAAATGTTCCCTCTTCTCTAAGATGCCTTTGAGAACAATGAAGGAGGCAAACTGGAGCAGAGAGCCCTATGCTCTTCAGAAGGGAGGAATGAATATAGCTTTCGCTGTACAGCTTCTTTGGCCACCCTTGTGCAAGTTTCTCCCATGCAGTCCACACTCATGGAGTAGTGCAGGTCCTACACAAGACACTTTGGAGCAGGAGCATAAATGGCAGTCACTGAATTTGATTGCCAGGCCAGCAAGCATTTGTATGCTGTGCATTAAACCTTCACTGCTCATACCATTTCAGTGAGACTAGGAATCTCCAGAAGGCATCGGTTTCTGTGTATTGCATTGCATGAGCCCTCATATATTTCCTGCAGAATCAGCTGAAAAATGGTTAAGAAAGTCATATTCTGGTGTTATCCCCCTAAGATGTGTATAAAGTTATAGGAGAAAAAGAAAGTTCTTTGTGCTGAGCTGTATCACACTGATTTCTAGCAAAAGGATATGTTTATTTTTATTTTTTAAATTTAGCAAGAATTTATTTTCAAATGAGTAGCATACTAGAAAACAAATACTTTCCTAAGTTATAAAAAGTGTTGTGGTTTTTTTCTTCTGTTTTCCACATACGTAAGTGTGGAAAAAGAAAAAGTATTCAAGGAAAATTTAAAGAAGATGGAAGCATTTGAAAAATCATTGGCAAATCATTACAGAGTCCTTACCAGCAGTTCCACTGCGACTCTTCAGAAGAGCAAACAGTATTTAAATCTTCTAGTGAGAAAGAAAATGGCAGATTACTTCCCCTCACTTTTCACGCTGCTAAACTGTGCTGAGAGCTACAGGTGAAAAGTAATATCATCATAAAGACAGTCAAAACTAGTCTCATTTTGCTCGGCAGAATAGCAAAGGTTAAATCACTGGTAGAGGATCAGATTCTACACTTAAGGTAGAAAACAAAACAAATTTAATTTATTGACCAAAGGTTAACCATACCAAAAGCAAAGAAGCATGCTGAAAAACAGATCAGAACACGGAGATTGAAAGCCCCTGCAAGGTACTCAGATCTCATAGTGAGCAGGGGAAGCTGAGGAAGGTAAATTATCAGAAGATATTGGAAAATATTAATACCACAAGAACAAAGAACAGCAGGAAATACAGATAATGATCGTGAAACTCTTGTTATTTAGTCCCTCACAAGACAGATTATCTCCTCAGCAGAAGAAGCCTCTGTGTGTACAGAAATAACTTGTCCAAATGTTGTGATCTTTTATCAGAGAGATTTCTGGAGGGCAAGTGGTTGGGGCAGACAAGTTTTGAGACCATCAGCGGTGCATGCCTTCCAGCATTTGTGATTTTTTCCAGTTGTGAACATCCCAAATTCTGTAATCAGCCAATTCATTGGTGACAAAATGCTACTTGCACCAATAAAGCTAACAATAAAGCTAAAATGCTGCTTCAATCAGGAAAATAAGTTTAAAATTAATTTCTAATAGGCCATGCTTGCCATACAAGAACAGATAAGAAGTTCTGACAAGAATCCTTTAGAGAAACATCTTATTAAAGGATGTGAGGATAAATCTGTTTGGAAAAACTCTTTAAAATTGCATTCAAAAATAGAATTTTGTACAACCAGATAAAAAGAGAAAGATAAAAGCACTTTTGTCAGTTCAGCTGACAGGAAGGGTACCTACAGAAATTTCTTCATGGTTTCCCATAGAAGTTGAAAACACATTCCAAATGTTGAAGGAAAGAGTCTCTGCTACTCAGCTGCAATATTTGGAAGAGACGGGCGTCGTATACTGGGGTGCTGGATGGGATCCCTGCCAAAGGGCTTGTTACAAGGCCTGAGGGGAGCGGGCTGTAGGGCTGGCACACGTGCTGGTGGCAGGCCTGGGGACAGCCAGAGAAACCTTTATACTCAGTGAGATCTGGCTCTTTTTTTAATGTAGAAAGCAGGAGGCTCATCAGTGACACAAAGACTAATTTCCGGGCAAATTTAAGCCCTTAGGCCACAGGATGGGAAGACAACTAGAACTTTCAAAAGAAAAAGAAATCCTAATTTTCCTAATACCAACCATTTTCCCTGTGTTCCACATAGCAAAATTATTCTATCACATTTTCACAGAGAAGAACCCTGTTAACCTCACCTGGAGAAGCTGTCAGCCCATGGCTTGGACAGGTACACTCTTTGCTGTGTTAAAAACTGGCTCGCCAGCCAGGCCCAGAGAACGGTGGTGAGCAGAGTGAAAACCAGCTGGTGACTGGTCACCAGTGGTGATCCCCAGGGGTCTGTGTAGGGGCCCATCCTCTTTAATATCTTTGTTGATGACTTGGATGAGGGAATTGAGTGCACCCTCAGTAAGTTTGCAGATGACACCAAGCTGGGGGGAAGTGTCAATCTGCCGGAGGGCAGGAAGGCCCTGCAGAGGGACCTGGACAGGTTGGGCAGAGGCCAATGGGTTGAGGTTCAACATGGTTGGACCAGATGTTCTTAAAGGTCTTTTCAAACCTCAATGATTCAATGGTTCTATTTTAAGAATTCAAATTTAATAGAATTTGGTTGAAAAATGAAAAAAAAATGAAAATTGACTTTTCTGATAAGAATTGTTGGATGGTGTTGCTGTTAGTTAACATATATTTGTAACCATGTTTGTTGTGTCAGTGTTGTGTGGTGTTGTGCCACTGGTAAATATGGAAAGAAATCACTTAACCTGGGGCTTCATTTGATTTCAAAGAACTAAGCTAGTAGCAACACAGTGAACATTAAACATATTATTTGGTCACAGTTTTGCAAAGCGTCTGTAAAATAAATACATAAATAAAAACCCAGAGATTCTGTTAAAATTCTTCAAACAAGCTTACAAAACAACACATATCATAGAACTTCATTAAAGAGAATAAATCGCATAATCTCTGTGTGTTTACTTCTTCAGAACAATTACTTGAGGCAGGAAATCTTTAGATAAAAACATCTAATGATGCTAAGTCTCCTATCTAACCTCCTTCCCAAAAACATTACAGTTAATGATGACAAATTCTTTCCTTTTGTATCATAATAAAATTCGGTCTTTGTATATGGTTCAATAAGAACAAAAGCCTATTTGGCCTTCTTCTTCCTAATTTTAAATTTCAACTGGTAATTAACTTCTATGAATCTTACAAAGGTGGAAAAATGTTTTTCTTCTTTTTTTTCTTTCTCTAGTTTTTATTTGTTCTGAACTTTCAGTAACTAACAAATCAATTCAAAAAGGCCAGTGAATTCACAAGTTCAAGGGCACAGCAAATGTGGAAATCTGCATGTGCTTTTCTCTTTCACACACTGCAGAGAAAATGAGATGAACCTACAAGGTATGGTCAGAGAAGGCTCTGGAAACCTCTGGTAAACCATGATACTATCATGTCCTCCTGAAAAAATGGTACTGTGTTTTAACTCCCGACAGTAATTTAAGCATTTCCTATACTAAAGCTGTGAACTGACAATCATTGCTGGAAAGATGGAGGTAGCTTAAGACATAGCTATCCACAGCTGCTTGTTCCTCCTTTGCCAAGAATTACCCATACAGTTCAGCTCGTGGAACAAATCACTTGAGTGCTCCTCATCAACAGCTTTGCAGAAGTCAGCTGATCTAATTGAAACTGATGCCTTGGCTGTGTCAAGTAACTCAGCTGATTTTGTGCTGGAGTGGGTGAGGAGAGCTCATATATTCTGTTCCCTGGCTGAACTCTGAGGATATGACTGTCTGCAGGTAGCTGCTAACAAATAGGAGAGAAGATAGGTTGTGTGATGGTGGCCTAATGCTGCTGCCGGTGCTACATTCAGCAGACTGGAATCAATAGCAGTTGCTATAAAGAGGCCTTATCAGTCTGGATAAAGACAGAGACTTTACAGAAGCAGCAACTTAAATGCTTGAGAAGCATACAGCTGATGTTTCAGGCAAGGTAACTCAGCAGATACTGTGATTCTTTATGAAAGCTTTTACTGAAACAGTCTATGAAATTATGCAAAACAGTTTGTCTGAGTGTGCCCTTTGGCATTTGCACCTGAGAAGGAAAAAGAAATATATTTAGTTTAGTATTGCATTTGTCTTTTACAGGAATTATGCAAGAGTAAAGTGCTGACAAAGTTTTCTTAAGGTCATCTGGAAGCTGCTAGCTGAATGGAAGGAGGGCTGTTGTAGTCACTTTGTTACTTGAACCAAGCTAAGAGAACAGAGGAAGAACTTGCACAGGCCAGAGAGTTGCTCTTTTTGTCGTGGTTGTTGTTTGTTTTTAAGAGGTTTACACAGAACGTGAAAGAACGTGTTTTAGCATCAGATGTATGATAATCTTTTGAAGTACCTGCTGGAGCTTTCTACTTTCTGAATCTAAAATGCACAGCTTGGTAGTTAAGGCAAGAAAAGCAAAACAGCACAGAAAAAAATCCACTTTGGTTGCAGAAAGTCTTGTGAGCCCAAAATTCAAGCACCCCCACTGTATCCATCAGAAAAATATAGCCCTACAAACCTTGTGGTATTGCATGAAGAGGGCCCAACAGCAGCCATTCAAAAGGTACTGAATTTTGCTGTTTTTTACAGATGTTAGCAGCTTTTATTAGTTGCACCTGGTAGATTAGTGCTGGAGGTTCTCACCACACATAGCTGCTAGGTAGGGTGGACCTTACCCATATGTCCTGGGCAGACCTAGTTTGAAGAAAGTGTGTCCTGAGTGCAGAAAGGCTCTTGATGCCCCCAAAAGGCCATGTCAGGGTGCCAGGCTAGGATTGTTTGCAATACAAACCAACAATGCAGCTGGCAAACCTCACCCCTACTCACACTGCATCTTTCCACTCCCTGAGCATCAACCTTCTCCATCCCAAACTTGCCTGTGTCCACAGATGTGCAGGGCTCTGGAGCTGGGGATGAGGTGGTAAGAGACAGAGCAGCAGGTGACAAAGAACAAAATCATGAAGAAAATGGAGAACAAATTTAAAAAACAAACAAACCCAGCCCTCAGGAGGGTTACATGATTTCAGATAGTTGTACCAAATCCATCACTTCCATCACTTGTCATCAGACCCCGTCAGAGCCTATCCCTATCAATTTCAGTGGGTTTGGGGCTAGGCCCAGAATCAATATGAAGTATTGAAAGCGCTGCTTAAAAACAGCGGCGATTCTAGGGGCTCTGCCAGTCAAACACCATCTTAATGCCTGAATGATATACCCTGCTCAGCAGTCAGCTGCATCGCTGCTGGGCCATTGGCTTTCAGAGGAAGTGTCTGTGGGTGACAGTGACAAAGACAAATACATCTGGGGGGTGACCATTTGATCTAAAGCTTTGACAGGGCTGCTCCCTGCCAGCAAGAGCTGACTCTGGACTGACGCAAATGTTCATTCTGGATTGAAATATGAACTTGGCATATACAGTGCACCGAAGCCAAAATTGAGAAGGTTTGCTGTTTAGTGGAAGTGCTGGTGCTAAAGTAAGCAGTTCTTCTTCTTGCTGAGTCTGCAGAACTAGTGACCAATATGGTCAAAATCAGAGGAATGCTGTCAATTTAGCACAAGCATAATTCTAAAGAATTTTAAGTTGCACTTGTAAAATCTGGTACAAGAAGGGTTGTTTATACTGCACAGTTAATAATGGAAACAGTTTCCATAATAAGTTTGCTTTTCAGTTGCTCTCCTTCCCTGTCCCTTGCAAATGTAAATTTAATAATAATAAAATGTAAACTCTGCAAAAAGGATTCAAAGCAGAAATCTAAAAACCTCCTATGTTCCCTGAAACTTCATGTCACCTCTTGTCTTCTAGTAGCATCTCTAAGGGAAGTTCACTAAAGAAATACACAATGGTTAGGAAGTGAATCTTCAGACTTTTTACTGGTTTTATACTATTTTTCTGAGTCGTGGCAAACCTGCTATTTGTTGGCACTTGTGTGAAAAGCCTAGATTTGTTTTGTTGACTGACAAAATAGTAAAAGGCTGTTTCTTTAGCTACCTATTGGGCATCTAAGGGAAAATGTGTTAATGTTTGACACATTGTTGTCACATTTTTCACAACACAGTGTTATCTAAAGTACAAAAAAACATCTCTCTGGAAAGAATAATATGATTTATTTCTGTGAGAATTTACAGATGTTTGTGAAGAACCCTTAAGAAACAGGAAGGACACTGGAACAGAGGTGAAAGCAAACAACTTGTGGATCTCCTCCTTTATAAACTCTCTGGATCAGTGCTGTGGTGGTTTCCTAACACATTTTTATATATATACTGCTTGGAAAAAAGCATAAACATTTCCTGAAAGTGCACCCTAGAGATAACCAGTTCCCAGAGTGTTACTGACTCTTTCCTTGCTTAAAAATAAGGCTTTCTTTGCATCCCGGGCAATGGGTAAGTGTACAGACAAACTTTTTTCCTGTGCACTTGTTGACCCCTGGGAAGGAGGCTAACCACAGGCTGAAAGGGAAATGGTGCAGCTCCTTTAGCTAGGAGATAGGCAGCACTTCACTGCCTCCCCAGAGCCAGCATCCATGTGTTGCTCCTGTGCTGCATTGCTCAGAGACCTGGAAATGTGGGAATGTTTGAAATGCTGGACAGAGCCCAATCCAAGCAGATCAGCTGTGCTGTCTTTTGCTCTCTCAAATAAATGTAGTTAGCTTGCTGTTCGATTTTGTTTTATGTTCTTCCAGCGCTGGGGAATTAGCCTGTGATCGGAAAGGTTCCCTTTCACCCTGAGCTGAAACCTGCTGTCATAACAGGGGGAAAACTGTTTTCACCACTGTCAGAAGAAGCATCCGGCATTTGAGATAACAGCTTTTGAAACAGCACAGAACCAGTTATCAGTTTTGTCTTTTTAACACTGGCAGTTTAAATAACTTTCACCCTTAGTTCAGGGATACTTGCTGGTGAGAGCTGTTTTCAAGGATGGCTTAGGACCTTCAGGTAGGCAGAGAGGACACAGTGTGCAAACAGAAAATGTTGAGCTATCGTTTTCCAGTTACATGTGAGGAAAATAAAATGAAGAGAGCAAAAGGCAAAAAAGCCTTATTTAAAGCAAAAGCAACCCAGCCTTGCACCACAGTGCAACCACCACAATTCAGGGTGCAATACAATGCTCAGGGTACAAGCAGAGAAGCTAGACAGTTTAACAAAAGCAAACCTGAGAAGTTGCTTATTTATAAATTGTTTATTGCTTGTAAACACAATTTGTGAAGTATTTATTAGTTAAAATCCTCAAAATTAGGTGTGCATAGGGTTGTGAGCTGAGTGTTAGCACTGGTTGCCAGATTATTATTATTAAACATTACCACTGGCCAGTTTTCATCATATTACCAACAACATATTTATTTGGACTGCTTTATGAACTACGTGGGGTTAGTGGGGTTAGATCTGGTCTGGTTACATGGTGATCCTGTCAATGTGCTTGGCCTGGGGAACACGAGGGGCCTTTGCCGAGAGCAGGAGCAGGCCCTGCCCCAGCTGCTCCGCTCTCCTCACCCGGCACCGCCAGGTCAGTGAGTTCACCCAACACAGGGGGTCTTCAACCTCTTCCTCTTCTATTTCTGTCACTGCTTGCTGTCTCAGTGGCATTTTAAAAGTCACCTTGCTCATTCCTAGGTGCCATAAACCCTGAAGGTGAGAAGGGGCAGAGGCATGGCTGTTATAACCCTGTGTAAGCTGCGCTATCTTTCCATCCAGTGCTACTCCCTTTGTGTGTGGAGGTACCTACACTGAATTTTAGACACTGCTCTCACACTTTTGACCATGTTTCACCATTATTTCTCCCTTTTATCCCAGAAGATTGTCAGAAGACCTGGAAAATGCCTGCATGGCCATTGCTTCCCCCATGGACAGGAGCAGGCACTGCTCCACCTGAGCGTGTTCACTGCCAATACTGCACAGGCAGCTGTCCCAGGGGACAAGGAACAGATGACACTACCAATGTACAGCGTGTCAGAGGATCTCCCGGGCAATTTGCAAAGCTACTGGCTACACAGGGCACAAGGATTTCAAGCACTGAATGTGGGTAAGTTGTATGCACTATAATTTGTTGCACAGCTGACTATCTACCGCCTCACGTGTTCTCTGTGAGCATCATTCTGAGAACCTCTGGTCTGGTTCTTAGTGCCGTGATTATTGCCTTCACACAGATACCTTTCTTCTCCTTCCAGTATATGTTTTATTTTTTCCTCTTTGTCTCTTCTTTCCCCTCTAACTCATTTTCATAACAACTGCACTTAAATGTGATTATTCCCTCATTTGCGCAAGTACATCACCCCTTAAAATCCATGGTATATTTGTGCGTGAAGAATTCACTGTTGGATTCCCCCACCCCTTCCTCTTTTCTTAAAAACAAAAATGAACAAGCATTGAGAGGAATAAACCCCCACAAAGTCTCAGTATTATCCTGCGACACAGCAGTCTTTAAGACAGCAAGTGAAATGTAGCTTCTCCAACAAAAACGCTAGAGGAGGTTGAAAAAAAATGTAGGTGGGTATTTGCTCTTACAAAAGGCTTATTGTATAGAGCTAGTATTAAACATGGGGTGGTATCCTGCATACGTCTTTGTACACCCAAACTCCAAGTCTGTGGGAATTTCCAAAGTGCAAGAGGCACAGAGTCTAAGTCAGAATTATTTGTAAACATGGGATAGATGAGATTTATGTAACAGGCTACTGCAGATTTATGAATCCAGGAAAGGAAATAATTACAAAGGAAATTGAAGTTAAAAATAATCATGAACAACTAAAAAGCCTGTGCTTTCTCCTCTTTCTCTGGCAACACAGTGTTACACCCACTTGCTGTGTGCCAGTTCATTCTTCCTGATAACTACTGAGGCCAGTAATGGAGGCTCCAGTTTAAAAAAGAAACTTTACTTCGTGAATGATTATTATATGTTCAAACTAGGTTTTAGATTACTTAGACAAAAAACATATACAATTTGCCTATACATCTAGCACAAAAAGACTTCTAATGGTGTGTTTTGGTACAATGCACTTCTTTTGAGAGCAGAAATAACTAAAAATAAGTGAAATGCAAAAACAAAAACTAGAGCTAACCTACAATCTCATGAAATTTATTACCAGCAGAACAGCATAAAACGTAATCAGCAAGACACAGCTGCACTGTCAGTTGTACTCGAGACAACTTTCTAGGCAACTTTTTTCTTTCTTTTATGTAACAAATTCCTCCCTTTCCTCCCTTTGTATTCTCTGCATGTGGTCCCGTTTTAGCAGGGACTAAATGCTTTGCTCTCTTCTGTGCTGCTGTGAACCAGGTCCTGTAAGTATTGCAGCGGGAGCTGCACAACCAGGCAAGCCCAATGCCTTTCTGCTGGGAGAGGTTTCCGAATTGTGCTTCACGTTCTCTTGGGGTGTCCTGGCTCTGTGGTCTGGAAAGGGAATGATCAATACCCTTTCCTCTAGAACAGGTGCTAGATCTAGCCATAATTTGCCCCTGGAAGGCCTTCTAGTTTGTAGATTTCTGTAGACCACTTTTCATATTCAAAGTAAGAATGTGTTGATAATAAAGTGACATATGGAGCTGTGATATGTGAACAGTGAAAGAAAGAACTGCTTATAGTTCCCCAACAAGTACTGGTAGGGCTACAGGCACCCAATAAAATCCCATCTAAACCAATAACACAGCTAGCCAGAAACAAAAATGAGGAGAAAGGCTCAAGGCATAACTCCACAGCGCTGGACACTGATGTCGCCTGCAGTGCACGTAGTGATGCTGGTGGCCGTGCCAAGGAGCAGAGAGACAGTGCACCATCCGAACACACACCCAAAGCCGGGCACAGGTTTGTAATGGGTTCAGAGGACAGATTGCAGGAAAAGGCAATGGGATGAAGGAAGTCTCAGGGACCGTAATAACAACAATAACTTCCTTAATAGCAACAATCTCCTTAATAGTAAGGAAGTTGTAATCTGCACCAAAAAAGGGAAGCTGGAGCACCATTAAGCTTCCTGTGTGCATGCCTAGCAAGTGATGTGGGGGAAAGCTGAGGAAGAAGGGCTTTTAACATACCACATGAAGGATTTGGGGAAAGACCTGTACAGGTGCCACATAAGGACACTCAAGTGTGTTTTAATAATTGCCAAGACATGGTGACAGGTTTGATGGGATCTTTATATGTTTGCATGTTTTCACCTGTCTTTTATTTTCTGAAATTAAAAGTAACAGTTTCTTCACGGGTATATGATTTCTAATGCTGTCTGAAAATGGTTTTGATAGAAGAATTTTAACAAGTTGTAGGTAATGGTTTTTGGCTTCTGCAAGCTAATTCCTGGAGTGGCTGAAATCAATGTTCATTTTAGAGGGTTTGACGCCTGGTTCCTCACAGAATAATCTGCACAACAGAGGTCTGAATGAGATGCATGAGATCTTTTCTGCACATTTTGTTGAACAGCACCTGTCTAACATACAGATTTTTATTATAGGTGTTGGTTTACAATCATACTCACTAATGACGCTGGAAGGAAAAAGTTTGCTAAAATGATTCTTTGAAGGAAGTAAAATAGCTGTGTGTTGTTAGCAACTTTAATACACCACACTTACTGCTGATTGACTTTAAAACTACATTATTTAGTTTAGAGGAACATGGCAGCCTGTGGAGTAAATAATATTTTCTTACAGATTTTTTTTAGCCATTTATTGAAGAATAGCTCTAACCTTCACTGTGTTTCCTATATTCATTTAAGATCTGGGAGCACAGAGCTAGGAGGATTTCTTCCAAGGAAATCTGTTTTGGAATCAGTTTTCAGATACAACAGGAGACTGACAACTTCCACTGAAAGACAGACAACCTTCAGTGAAGCTACTTGAATGAAGCGACTTCACAATAAAATAAAAACCCTGCAAGGTACTGATGAAGGTCAAGTATAAACTAAGTTAATTATGTAATTGGTAACAAGCGACTTCCAGCTCTGGCAAATTATGTACTTAATGCAAAGTATTAATATTCGTTGTTTTGTTGAAATGAGTGTCTGTGATCTCATCCTTGAATGAAAAGAACCAAAGAATTTAAGATTTTGCCACTAAGCTAAGGCATGGGTGTGTTTCTGGGCCACTGGCTGCTGGCTTTTGGCTTATGCTATAGGCAGCATCTCAAGTATTTTGTACAAAGGAGTTGGATACGTATTTATACAACTTATACAATATTTATGCCTGAGCTCAGTGTTTGTTTTGAATGCAATTGAGAATGAACTCGTACAGTAAACACTGGTGTCCTTTAGAGATAGCACAAACCAAGCAGCACTTCTGTTCATACGCTCACTGCTCCATCGGCTTCAAAGCACTCGCTGAAGCACAACTGGAGAAAGAATGTAGTTTCATAAAGCACAGCTCCCGCTTTTTCCCTCCTACCGATCTGTGATAATTTTCTCAGAGCTGGGGGAAGGAAATGTTTGAAATTCTGAGCTGGTTACCATGCTGCTCTCAGTCCAAGTGAGCCCAACCCAAGATGTGAGATGCCCGCATCTGCACTTCAGCAGCCTCTTGTGATATTGAGCACAGCATCAGGAAAACAATTTCCCAACCATATATCATTAGAGAGCTCAGTGCAAGAGGATTGCCTGACAAAGGCTTTTCAATCTGATAGAGACTGTGAAAGCTCTTTACAGTTTCCTGATTAAATGAATTGTCTCTTAAACCGACTGATGACAATGAATCAGCTTCTAGCTCCTCAACCACAGGTGCGTGATCCTGCTCACCCTGCTGGCAGGGGACTTGTGTAGGCTCCTGATGTTTTTTGGGGTGAGGAGGGGTTGTGGTGGTGGTTGAGGCAGGAGGATGCATGGACTGGAGGCTCTGCAGCTGTGTTTTGGGCTGGCTCCCTGCCTGCTCTGCCCGCTGCTTGGGGAGAGGATCCTGGATTGTGGGGAAAATACCTCTGGGATTAGTGGGCTGAAGATCCTAGCTGCTCAAGCAGGTGCATACGGCAGCTCAGTGAAGTGTTGCTTGCTGGATTTGTTTACTTTTTGACTTTCTGTCATGTTTCTGTTGGAGGAGCACTGATGTGCCCAGTGCTGATCCTTAGAGGGGCTGTTCCTGCGGGCTGCAGGGTCACGTCAGCTGCAGCAGTGGCTGCTCGCTTCCCCTGGAAATGGCGGCAGTACCCAGCTGCCTTAAAAAGGTAAATTGTAAGTCCAAGAAATGGGAATTAAAGTTTCCAGTCACATTTTTGCCGTTGTTAAATAGTGTCATGTACCCAGGATCTTCTGTCTTTATATAAATACATTCTGACAACTTCAAAATTAGCTTGACTTTGACCCTTGAGTGGCATCAGCCAAAGACAAAATGTGAATTAACAGACTTGGCAGCATTCAGAACAATGTTTGGAGAAATGTCTTTGGTTGAAAAACAGAAGAGATACAGATAATTTAGAGATGGTGCTTTCGCTCAACCACCCCTCTTTCAAGAAAAAACAAATACAACCAACCAAAAAAAAAAAAAAAGTGGAAAAAAAAATCAAAACAGAAACAAACGAAAAAAAAAAAACAACTTGGAGTCTTAGGCATAAAAATAAACATTCTGAGGCAAATGGGAATGCCACCTCATTTAGAATAAGTTCAAGAGTAGAGGACAGGGTTATAATTTTCCTCAACTTGAAAGTTATATGATGAGACAACATTTATAAAACCTCTTGTCAATTCCCATGCTGATAACCGGAGACGCAGCATCATTCGCTGAAAAGAATGAAGCATGAATGATTCGCTGTTTCCTAGACCATGAGAAAAATCTGGGCAAGCTTGAAAAGTTATGCCCCTGGGACAGCGTTCAAGCCGGGGCCGATCGTGCTGCGTGTGTGCACGCGATGCCATTGCAAGCTGTCTGCTTCCCTTACAAAGCGGCTGAGCCTCCGGTACAGCCCAGAGAGGATGTGGTGAAAGAACCCCCTGAACTACCTTCCCTCCGTGGAAATTTGAATCTAGGTGTGATGATCACCCTGTTGCACGACTTCTAAGGTATTGAACTGTATTACAGTGCATTGTGTATTTCATCTCTTAGCCTACAGGCACCTTGAGGATGGCTGGATGTGTCAGGAGAAGCTCTCTTGGTGCTTCAGATGTGAATCATTGACTCATTGACTGGGTTATAAAAGGCAAAGTCAATTAATCAGCTCCTTCCTTCTCTTACCCTGAGAGTTTTTGTGTATGCAAATAACACATCTTGAACCTTTGGTTATTCGTGTACCCTTTCAAATGTAATTTCTACAAATAAATTTCAAATGTCAGGTATATTTTATCATTTAGCATCAGCACGTAGGAGGAAAAGGTGAAAGAAGCAATCCAGCATCATTACTTATGGGTAAGAAAATTACGGGAAAATTCTTTAAAGAAGAGAGAGAAGAAACAGAAAGCTGGAGGAAAATATCAGGAGCTCATTTGTGGACACTCCCCCGAAAGGTCAGGGGAGGCAATGGAAGGAATGAAACTGTTGATGGAAATCAGCAACGCAGACAAACATCCAAAAAAATGCAATCTTCAAAAAAGCAGCAGGCAATCAGGCAGGGGTGCTGTGAGAATCCACAAACCTCCAGTCAGTGCTAAAATAGGACAGCCACCCGGCTCTGTGCTGCAAGGGGCATCAGCGCAGCCCCAGGCGCCCACGTGGGCAAGAAGAGAGCCCGCAGGGACAGCGTTTGTCCACCCCTGGCCCAAGGATGCTGGCAAAAGAGCACCGACCTCTCAGGTGTGGAAGCAGTAGGGGCCAAATGATGGGCTCCAAGACACACCAACCTGAACGTGAAATGAGGCTGTTGCCTCTGAGTGCAAAACTGCTCCTGTTGTCAGTTTTGGAAATAGTTCCTACTGCTGCTGCACGAGCAAAGGACCAAAGATGTTTGATACAGAAGTAGTGCTGGCCATCCTAAGGCGAAAGGAAGCGTGCTGTTAGAGAGGCTGTGCTATAAATACACACGTGTGTTCACTCGTTACATAAACTCAGTGGCATGTTGGACTTGGGCTGGCCTTTCTGTGAAAACAGACCGCACCGCGGCCTTTCAGCACTTGAAGGGGACTCACAAAAAAGATGGAGAGCAGCTCTTGGCTCCATCGGGTACTGACAGGATGAGGGGGAGCGGCTTCAAGCTGAAAGAGGGCAGGTTTAGATTGGATCTGAGGAGGAAATTCCTCGCTCAGAGGAACTGGGGCTGGGTGTGCGTGGAGGTCCCTCCAGCCCCAGCTGTTCGTGGCTCTGTGGGACACGCTGCGCCCTGGAAATTAAAGTGCTTAAGAACAAATTTTGGTCTTGCTTTTCCTTTTTCTCTTCCTTTTTCCCTTTCTCTTATCCCTTTCCCTTGTTCTCTTCCCTTTCCCGTATCATTCTCCCTTTCCCTTTCCCTTCCCCTTTCCCTCACCTCCCTCCCTTCCCCTTTCCCCCTCCCCTCCCCGCCCTCCCTCAGCCCCAGCCCCAGCCCCGCCCTCTCCCAGCCCCCTCACGGAGTCACCCCCGACTCTGCGCATGCGCAACACCTCCCACAGCCGGGCGGAAGAAGGGTGTGGTCTCCCCCCACACACACACCCCCTCTTCCACCCGCGCCTCGCGATTGGCCCTTTCCACCCCCCCGCCCCGCGCCTCCTCCCATCCCGTTGGCCCTACCTCCCGGCGGCGCTTCCCCATTGGCTGCGGCGGCGCTGCGGCCGGGGCGGGGGCGGTGCCCACCGGGAGGTGCGGGAAGGCCCGGGCCGCCGCCGCTTCCGGGTCCGTGGGGGAGCCGCGGCGGAGGAAAATGGCGTAAGTGCGGGGCGCGGGGGGGGGGAGGGGCCGGGGGTCCGTGAGGGCGGCGGGGCTGTGATGGCAGGCCGCGGGCGGGCTGCTGAGGAGCCCTGAAGGGCTGGCGCGGCTCCGCGGGGGTTTTCCTCCTCAGCAGCCCAAAGCGGCAGCGTTAGCAGCAGAGCAGCCCCCTCCCGTGAGGAAGCCGGGACACGTGGCTGGGCGTTTTTGTGTATTTTGTAAAATTTGGAGGAAAAGTAAAGGAAGCGGCAGCCGGAGTGCGGCTGGGCGCTGCCTCCACACCAGGCGTCCCTTCGGGTCCTCTGTGCTGGGACTCGTGCCCTGCACTTTGGCAAATAAACGATCAAAAATGGTCCCTTCTTTAATTTTTTTGGGGGAAGGAGGGGATATAACCTACTACAGTAACTCATTTTTCTTTATTATAATGTTGAAGTACTTGGAGCATCAGTGTTTTCATAAAGGTTTGAAATAAAATGCATCACTGGGTTGTTTGGAGCCTGAATCAGTAGATGTGAAAGGTTTTATTACTCCTTTTGGACAATGCTACCTGTCTAAACCACTCAAACTAGCTTTTTTCCTCCTCCTCAAGGAGCGTTATGTGTATTTGCAATGTGGATGCTTTTCTAGTAGCTGCTATTTCTCTGTTAGATAAAACATCCCATCAGGTAGGCTGCTGCAAGAATCACTTCTGCATCTCACAGCTTCTTTGAAGAAAGCTTTTAGTTTTACCTCCTTTTCTAAGCGCACACATTGCTCACGAAGGCAGGCCCCTGTGGCACAGATGCGGTGTGAGTGGTGCTGCCCAGGCAGCAGCGTGACAGGGCTGGCTCCCAGCTCTGCTCTGCCTGGAGCTGGGCTGTGTCCGCTTGAGCAGGACCTCATTAGTGCAATTAACGCAGTCGTTCAGCTTGTTTACAGTTTCCCACTACCGTTGCTTCAAGCACTGGCTGAGGGGTAGGAGCTTGGGCCCGAATCTCAGTTCTTCTGCTGCAAATGATGGCAGTCCTCAGTCAGCTGTAGGATGTGAAGCACGTGCAATGCTTCAGACAGCAGAATTGCTGTGTAAGTGCTATCCCGTAGCTTATTCTGTGTGTGCCTGTGCTTTGAGAACAACTTCTCTTCCTTCCCCTTCACCATACTTGTTGATTAAGGACTTCACCGAGCTTCCTACGCTGTCTGGGACCGGCTTGAAGTCTCCAGACCTAGCCAGAATATTTTGGGAGAGACGCCAAGGTTGGCAGCTTCTTGTTTTGTAAAATGCGCTGAATGTGCACCTAGGTGCTGATAACATCGTTTGCCCTCAGAGGGAAGCCCAGCTGAGTTGTGTTTGCATTTGTGAGACTGCCTTCGAACATCGCTGAATTACGTGAGGCTCTGACTTGGTACCAGCTCTTGCTGGAGACCCTTTGAAAGAAAGTGACCAAGCGGGTAGGGCAGGGAAATGCCATTTCTTTGCCTCAAGGACCTGTTGTGGGCATGGCTCCGGTAGTGGAGATGTGAAGCATCCGTGCGTGTTATCAGAGTTGATTTGTTTGGACTAGGGGAGTCTACCTCCTCTGCTTTAATCTTCTGTCTTGGGCGCAATTGCAGCTCCGCTGTCTTGTAAATGCTGTATAAACTGGGAGTTATGTCCTCCGACTGGAAGTTAACTTTTAAGGAAAGAAATGTGGACGTTGTTTTAGAAAGCAGATTTTGCTTTGCTTTCCAATTAACAAATACTTGGTAAACACTTGATTTCTCTGAACTGAAACTCTGAGGAATGTCCCTGATAAACTTTCACTCCAATTTATTTCACCCCCCATAAATTCTAGTCATAAGAATAAGGGGATTGGCAGCATTCTTTATTTCACTACTTGCTTCATAACCGTATACAGTTTTTTTTCCCCTGAGCCTTATGAAATTTTAGTTTCTGTTCACATCTTTGGATACTGTTTTGGTCAGCCATCTCTGCAAGGTGTGCCGAAGAAAAGAGTATTCCATAGGATGGGATTAAAAAGGCATTTCCTTTTTTCCTCTCCTTTTCTATCAGCCCAAGACCGATATTACTGTGACGTTCCCAGGCACTGAGTAAAATACCTGTTGCTTTCGTCTCCAGTTGCAGGTGTAGGACAGAGCCCTCGCGGCCACATTGCTGTTCCCTTGGCTTCAGCTCTCTGCCAGGCGGAGGGGATGTTGGAAGGCCTCTGCTGGCGGCGGGTCCGCCGACTCCTCATCTTCCTGCCCTGCCTCTGCACAGCTTCACGTGCTGGGGCTTTGCCCAGCCAGCTGCCTGAATGAAGCCAAAGCATGATACGGGATCTGCGACGGTGTTGTGTGTTGGCCATCCACCTTTCAGATGGGCTTCTGTTTTATTTTTTTGGGGTTGTAACCCCTTTTATATATGCGTGCCTTCTATAACTTTTTATTATTTTGTTCCAGCAGGGCTTTTTTTTTTCCCTCAAGCTAAGTGTTAGCACTTCAGGCTGACGTTAACACTAGTTTATGTATTTGATGTAACTGAAATGTATTTACAAAGGCTTGATGTAGGTACTTCTGAGTGAGTGGCATTTTCAGGAACGGAGTGTTTGCTGAGAGCCTGGTCCAGGTTGGAATACTGGGAGCAGGCTGGAAATAAAGCACATCCCCCAGGACTGTCAGATGACTTCCCTCATTTTCCATCAATTACATCCTTTTAGTACTGATAAAATTTGAATAATACATGAGTCAAGTAATTAAAACTTTTACATTTTCTGTTAAGTGTGTGTTTCTCCTCTAAAGAATGCCTGTCTGACCGGGAGGAGCAAGTCTAGGTAACATTGAACCCTCACATCTTCAATTCAATCCAAACATGCACCTGGAAAGCAGGCCCCAAGTATTTTGTGTGGGCATCACAAACCGAGGGCTGGGCCTCCTATTTCTCCTTGCTCTCATTTGCGGCAGGGAGACTACACAATGCCTTAAAAGAATGAGGTGAAAATAAATGAGTGGTGTGATTCTGTCACTGCAGTGCCCCAAAATCTGCTGCTTCTCCTTTCTTCCTCTCAGGAGAAGTCACACAACTTTCTGTGGTAGTGTGCCAAGGCAGCTCATAAAAGCTACAAGTGACATTCAGAATAGTAAAGATGTTCTTTATAAAAAAAAAAAAAAAGTGGTCATTATATATCTGGACTGTATTCTGGCTTGTTTTCTGGGATCATCATCACAAACCAGTAGAGACGTTGAGAACATACTGTAAAAAAGTGCAGAGATGCACGTGGGTTTCTGAGTTTCTCTTCCCCACTGATGTGTGCTCTGTGTGCTGGTAAGGGTCAGCTTCCCGTCCACTCATGCTTTCCAGAGGACGCCCCTAAGACTTGCCAAGCGTGCTGTTCCTTCAGCAGAACACACTGGCAGCTCGCTTTGAACCCACAGGCACACCAAGCCACTGGTCAGCATCCCTGCAGAGTGCCTGCCTGGTGTTGTGTTGCTGCCCCTGAGGGCGGCGGAGACACCAAGTGTGTGAGGTGGGAGCTGGGGGCGGCCTGCTCAGCCTGGGGGCGGCCCTCAACCTCTCCACCTCCTCCCTGAGCTCCATCAGGGAGTGCGAGCCGGGACAGACCTGTGGGGCACCTGTCTGGTGGGTCTGGAGAACAAGTCCTACAGGGAGCGGCTGAAGGAGCTGGACTTGTTCAGCCTGGAGAAGAGGAGGCTCAGGGGCGACCTTATCGCTCTCTACAGATACCTTAAAGGAGGCTGTAGGGAGGTGGGGGTTGGTCTGTTCTCCCACGTGCCTGGTGACAGGACGAGGGGGAATGGGCTAAAGTTGCACAAGGGGAGTTTTAGGTTAGATGTTAGGAAGAACTTCTTTACTGAAAGGGTTGTTAGGCACTGGAACAGGCTGCCCAGGGAAGTGGTGGAGTCACCATCCCTGGAGGTCTTTAAAAGGCGTTTAGATGTAGAGCTTAGGGATATGGCTTAGTGGAGGACTTGTTGGTGCTAGGTCAGAGGTTGGACTCGGTGATCTTGGAGGTCTCTTCCAACCTAGATGATTCTGCAGACTGCAGAGGAGCTTTGTCCTTGGGGTGAGCAAGGTTGCGTGGAGGGAGCTGGGCCACGTGCACAGTGCAGAGGGTACAGAGGGTGGAGGCAGGTAGGAGCAGGACTGTCAACAGAAAGTAGCTCATGGCTGTACTGGAAAGGCTGCATCTCTGCCTTCTAACACTGCTGATCCTGTCTCTCCATCCTCCACACTGTGTAAATGCCCAAGGACGACATCGGTAGCTCGTCCTGCTGAAGTCTCTGCCTGCAGTGGCCATCTGTTGCCCTAAATCTTCGAGGTGTTTCATAATCAAAAGCACCTGTGATTAAGCACCTGTGCCCTCTGAGACAGATGTGCACCCAGTGCAGGTGGTAGTGCTGCCTGTTCCTGCAAGCTTAGGCTCCCATCCTCTGCCTCCTGCTTCTCAGGTGCCTCAGTCAAGGGCAGGGGGTGCCGTCAGCGGGCCCAGGCCTCAAAGGATCCGTGGTGGAGCTCCAAAACTTCCAAAC